GGGTTTAGGGTTTAGGGTTTAGGGTTTAGGGTTTAGGGTTTAGGGTTTAGTTTAGGGTTTAGGGTCTCTTACGCCTAGGGTTTGGGAGGTTCATTCCGTTCGCTTTGCTGGCCTTTTGCGGCCTCATGAGCGGAGGTGTAGCAAAAATTTGCCACCCTCCGCATGAGGATCCCTAGCCTGTCAGTTTAGGGTTCAGCATTTAGGGTTTAGGGTTTCGGGTTTAGGGTGTGGAGTTTAGGGTCATGTCTTAGGGTTTAGCGTGTCTGGCTCTGCTTGGTGAGCCTTTGCGCATGCACGCGTCGTGCATCAGACCTGCGATTCAAACTGGTGTAGATGAGGTTGGCGCAGCGAGCCCGTGCTCCATAAATTCTAAAGGCGACAAGGTTTTAGGCCCCGAACCCTAAACCCCGCAACCTCAAAACCTAAACCCCAGGCCCTAAGCCCCACCCCAATGCCTCTGATTCGAGCATACCTTGAAGCCTAGCAAACTTACTTCCTTCGAATGCTACCTACAAGGAGCCAGCGTGGCGAGTTTGGTTTGGGGTGGTGCCTCGTCGAATTGCCTTTTTGCCTCGTGAGCGGTAGATCTCAGAAGCCTGGTACTTGAAGGTTCATGGGTAGCTATAAGTAGGGTTATCATGGTAACTAGACTTACAACCCTATTTAGTGTTCGGCTTAGCCCTAAACCCTAAACCCTAAACCCTAAACCCTAAACCCTAAACCCTAAACCCTAATGTACTTATACCCGTACTTGTAAGTATCCATGAACCTCCAAGTACGTGGTTTGGGCTTCGGGACTTGTTCAGGGCGATCCTGGAACTTTGCTCCGACATTCACATGTTTTGTTCCGGATCACAGGTTTAGGGTTTAGGGTTTAGGGTTTAGGGTTTAGGGTTTAGGGTTTAGGGTTTAGGGTTTAAAGATGTATTGGCTTGTGGATGTGCAGGTTTTACAGCTTTACAGAGTTCCGGGCTGGCAGGCTGATAGGTTGCAGGTGGTTGAGAGGATCTATAGGTTCAGGGGCTAACCACAGTAGACCTTATAGCTCCCTAACCCCCTCCGTCCACCTCGCTGTGCCTTCGGCCCTGAAAACAAAGGGGCAACCATACCCAAGCATTGAGGTCCACTTCCCGGTTTAGGGTTTAGGGTTTAGGGTTTAGGGTTTAGGGTTTAGGGTCTTGCAAGGGTGTATCGATGAAGAACTCCAGGTAGTGTTGTTGGAGTGGGCCATCGGCCCACTTCCCGCGCAGGCCCGACAAGGCAGCCTGCTAGGGCTTCGCTTGCGCCAACCTCGAAAACGTCTTGCATGCCTGCTGCTTATCCATCGCGGAATGCCTGTTGCTTCTGCACTGGACTCTTCTCCCCCAACAAACACAACCCCAAACCCCCTGAACATCACCCCTTCCGCCCCGCGCCCAAAAAGATCTTTAGGGTTATGTAGGGCGTAGATATTGGTACTCGCACATTCATTTCTTGAGCGGTACTTGGTAGCCCAGTGGTAGCCTTTTCCCTTTTTGGGGTTCAAGGTTCCCTTATAAAGGAACCAACCCAAAAAGGGTGCCCTTATTATAATGTGGTTACTGGGCTTCTAGCCCTAAACCCTAAACCCGAAACCCTACAACCTAAACCCTAAGCCCTTAATATAATTGGGTACCCTTCTTCTAATATGGGTACTGGGCTACTAAGATGAAGGGTGGAGGGTTCTGAAGTTCTGAAGCGTAGGAGTCGATCCAGCTAGGCACACTCAGCAGTGGCAAATGCCCCGCGAAACTGAGCCCTGTCCAGAATGCTCGCGTGAAAGTATCCCTAACCCTAAACCCTAAACCCGAAACCCTAAACGCAGGATTGGGTCTGGAGTCTATAGGCCGAAGGGTAGCAAAGCGCAGGCTTAGGCTAGGACCCACGGTAGGCGCCGATTCCTGTTTTGTTTGGGCTTGAGTTCCCGTGTGAGTAAAAGGGGTACCCTTTTTCCTCCTAGGTTACTTGGTTTTAGGATTTAGGTTTTTTCAGGTTACTTGGCAGCCTAGTGGTACCCTTTTCCCTTTGTGGGGTTCAAGGTTCCCTTGTAAAGTAACCAACCCTAAGAAGGGTGCCCTCATTATCATACTGGGCTACCAAGAGGGGTACCCTTTATGCTCGCAGGTTACTCCTGGGTCTATTAGGCTTTACAGGCTAAACCCTAAACCCTAAACCCTAAACCCTAAACCCTACACCCTACACCCTACACCCTACACCCTAAACCCTAAACCCTAAACCCTAAACTCTAAACCCTAAACCCTAAACCCTAAACCCTAAACCCTAAACCCTAAACCCTAAACGGACGGGAGATGCCCCGTGCTCGCAACAGGATGCTCACACGCCGGTTCGTTAGCTCCCGGCCAAGGGGGGGGCATCCCAACAGGGCACCGCGAAGCAGCATCTGGAAGAGCCCCATGACTGCCCGCCAGGCCCATGCTGGCTTTTGGGGTTTAGGGTTTAGGGTTTAGGGTTTGGGGGTTTTGGGGTCTTGGGGGTTAGGGTTTAGGGTTTAGGGTTTAGGGTTTAGGGTTTAGGGTTTAGGGTTTAGGGTTTAGGGTTTAGGGTTTAGGAGCGCTTGCACTTCTTCTCCCTCTAGTCCCTCTCGATACCCTCAGCACCGCCCATTGTAACAAAGCCCCCTATGGCGGGGTCCCCTGCGCCCGAAATCATACCCAAAGGCTCCAATGTAGTTCCGTTTTGGGTTAGTTCTAGGGGATTCTAGTATACTACCCCAAAAAGGTACTACATAGGAGCCTTTGGGTAAACTCATAGTGAAACCCGGGGGTGTACGGGGGTCCCCATGTTCCGGGATTGTGACTTTCTCGGGGCAATATGGACCCTAAGAAACCCTAAACACCACCTCCTCCCTGACACCTCCTTGGGTTTTGCATAGATAAACCCTAAACCCCAAACCCTAAACCCTAAACCCTAAGCTACTAGCTGGGGATTTCCCCCAGCTTAGCTTTCGGTTGCCCCAGGTTGCAACCTTACTTGGGGACTTCTCACCCTGTAGTTATACCTGCCACTTATACCTGCCCGTGTACCTTGAAAGTGACCCTAAACTCTAAACCCTAAACCCTAAACCCCTCACCTTAAACTCCAAGCCTTAGCTGCAATAGGGGGGACCACTCACTAGGATCCACCAGGTAGGTAAGGTTTCGGGTTTAGGGTTTAAGTGTTAGGGTTTAGGGTTTCGCATTTAGGTCAACGCTGACTCTTGTAAACCCTCCTACATTCTAAACCCCCAGTGCAGTAGTTAAGGGTTCTCCTGGCCTTAAAGCGTTCAGAGTTCAGCGTCCCAGTCTGTGTCTGAGGTTTAGGACTAAGGGTTTAGGGTTTAGGGTTTGGGAACTATAGCTCCCGCAGGAATTGTGATCTGTTTTTTTTTCTTTCGGTGCTTTCAGCAAGTGGCACAGCTGAAACACGTGTGTGTAGCGCATAGAGCATGCCAAGGAGCATAGCTTCAAAGCAAATGGGGATTTAAGGGACTAAAGGAGGGACACTTGTAAGGGATCTTAGGGGTTCTTTGGGCACCTCTTTTTTTTAGGGACTGCTGAGTGCTGTGATAGGCCCCAGCCTCATTCCATGTTGTGACGTGCCCTTACAAATAGAAGGGACAACTCACAGGCCTTAGATTGTTCGGCTGACCTAAACCCCAAACCCCAAACCCCAAACCCCAAACCCCAAACCCTAAACCCTAAACCCTAAACCCTAAACCCTAAACCCTAAACCCTAAACCCTAAACCCTAAACCCTAAACCTAAACCTTAAAGAGCCTTCAATACAGCCTTAAACGAGCCTTACAAAAAGCCAAGCCATGCCTGGCGGACCTCAGAGTGAGTCCATGGCTAAGCCCTGTGATTCCCGTCGCATGCGGCCGGCTCCAGAAACCCAGACTCGAGCTCCCGGACAGGGGCAGAAAGAGCGCTGATGCGTTTTAGGGCTTATGGCTTTAATTTTCACTCTCTTTTTGTTTAGGGTTTAGGGTTTAGGGTTTAGGCTTTTTTTTTGTGTTTGTGTGTGTGTGTGTGGTTTTTGGTGGTTGTAGGGTTTAGGCCTTTGGGGGTTCGAGGGTTGGGGCATTCATTTTTGGGGCTAAAGGCCCTAAGCCAGAGAACCTACCCGGACCTCCTCTAGCACATACTCTCCAAGATTCCCGAATTTAAGGCACCCTTAGAAGAAGTTCCAAAGGCTCACTGACTGAAGGAAGGCCCTAAACCCTAAACCCTAAACCCTAAACCCTAAACCCTAAACCCTAAACCCCAATGTTCCCTCCCCGCTCTGGGTACCCTGACTGACGCGGACCCTGATGTTTAGGGTTTAGGGTTTAGGGTTTAGTTTAGGGTTTAGGGTTTAGGGTTTAGGGTTTAGGGTTTAGGGTTTAGGGTTTAGGGTTTAGGGTTTAGGGTTTAGGGTTTAGGGTTTAGGGTTTAGGGTTGGGCTTCGGATAAGATGGGGTCGAATGGCATCGAGGTCCTTAGCAGGGAAGCCGGAAGCAGATATTCCTTCAATCCTCTTGCCCCCCCCCAATGTTTCTAAACCCCCCCCTACCCCATTAAAGGACCGTTCAACGTGTACATACTAGAATCCAATGCAATTAAATTGCCAACGTCATGTAGGGGAAGGGATTCTCAAGTTTCAAGAGGGTGTCCTGAGTGCCTTAAACCTCGAAGCCCAAAGCCATTTACGTTTCATGAGGGTTTGATCCTCTAGGGATTTGTGGTGATCTCGGACCAGAGCTTTCGGGCAAAATCCATAAAGCCCTAAACCCTAAAACAGTCCTCCGCATGGTCGCTTGGCTTCGCACAGCTCAGGCGCTAGGGTTTCGGGGTTTCCCCTAAAGCCTACACCCGGAGCTATGGAGGCTCCTGGGAGATGTTGATTCCCTCCTTTAGATTCACAAGATCTGTATGAATGAATATTCTCAAAGATTTGTGTGTGTGCGGGTGCTGTTATATCCCTTCTGTATAGAACCCTTTTTCAATGATGTGCGCGATGAGTGCTGCTCTGGTTCTGGCCGGCGTGTCGCTGGCTCCAGCGCTGGCCAGTCCGTGCGGAGTGACGTTGGAAGTTGCTGCAAACATCATGGCGCTCGAGGCAGCATTGCTTGAGGCCACAGTGATATTCTTTGACTTGGATGAAACTCTTGTGATGCCGAGAACGACCTTCATATATGGGTTGCCGCGCACAGACATGTTTTTGAAACAAATGAATCCATGTTTTTCGAAGGCTTTTGAAGAACTTGATCTCGGAAGGAAGATGGAGGAGGAATACTACCATGCGCCACTAGCGCTTGTGCACTCCAAGTTGCCATCGACGATCAAGGCACTTCATTCCCGAGGAGCATCTGTTTATGGCTTGACATCAAGATCCGCCGAGGACCGCAACTATTCCTGGCACAACCAAATCGTTTTGGATTTTCTGTTTCAGAATGGCATCGTGTTCTCCAAGTCTCTGACTTCAGACACTGGGGTCTTCTTCGCTGGCGATGAGAAGATACAGCACGGCCACAATAAGGTCATGAAGAGAAGCGGTAAAGCAAAAATCATCGACAAAGTGATGAGAAACCGCACTTACATGGAAGGTGCCTGCATGAAGTCTTTCTTGGTTGACAACACCATGGCCAAAATCGAAGCCGCCATGGAGCAGTCCGAGACAACAGTCTCAGGCGTCTTTTACACAGAGGCCTGGCTGAAACAGAGCTCTCTTGAAGACATGCGTGCCTGGTTCTGCAAGGTCGTCAGTTGCGACGAGTGTACCAACGATTCGCGAGCTGCCGAGATGTAGTTGCGACATGGAGGTTCCGACGGAGGTAAGCCTTGCTGTTTGCTTGAGCCCCCCACAAATACCGGATCATCATCCCTGTATTACCCTTATACGGAAGAATATGTTTTTTTTTTTGGGGGGGGGGGGGGGGGTGGGGGGGGGGGGGGGGGGGTGGGGGGGGGGTGGGGGGGGGGTGGGGGGGGGCGGGGGTTCTTAAGCAAATAAGTGGAAAAAATATCACTCTCACGTAGCTTGGCTCCATTCTTCTTACGCGTCCCCTTCGTGTCAGTGATAAGCCAGCCAATTGGAGCAGAAGGTTGCTAGTAGGAGCCTGTCGCTCGCCAGACACCTACTGGCATTGCAAAGCGATTTCGCAGCTGATGGCTCGGAGCAAGGTTTCAGGTCCAGAGAGTCTGACCATCTATTCTAAATGTTTGAAATCGCATCTGACAACTTTGCCCAGAGATTGGCTTAATGTTGACAGCCCGTAGATGCTGCAACAGGCGATGGTGTAGCAAGGTGCTCGGAGACTCCGCCCCACGTCTTCCAGATGCCTCCATGGCGCAGACCATCGAGATGCATTCCGTGAGGGACTCTGCTGGTATCAGGAGGTGGTGTAATGCAAAGCCCTTAAAGGCCAGTTAAGACACAATTTAGGGTTTAGGGATTATGGTTTAGGGTTTAGCGTTTACTTAGGGTTTTGGGTACATAGGCACACCCTGGTCTCACATGGCGTGACCCAGCAACAGTCTGCTACAGCCTTAGCACAAAACGGCTTGGGAGTTTTCGACCCCCTTGATGCTAATACACCGCGCGCTTTGCCCAAACCAATCAACCCTAAACCCTACCCAAAGGCTCCTATGTAGTACCTTTTTGGGGTAGTATGAGTCAACCCAAAAAGGAACTACATTGGAGCCTTTGGGTAAACTCTCAGCCCTAAACCCTAAACCCTAAACCCTAAACTCTAAACCACCATAGCTCAGCCGGAATGCAAAATGTGTGCCGAGGTGGAGCCAGCCCTACTTCGGGCGCCGAGCCAGGAGGTCATAGAGGCCTTTTGGGGTTTTCCTAGGGGTAGTTGGAATATTTTTCTAATTTTGGGGTACTTTAAATGCTAAGAAACAGCTGGACTTTTGGGGTTTCTTGTTATTGAGGTTATTGTGCTGAACATGGTTGTCGTGGTTTATTATGGTTGTTCGTATCCTTCCTAGGACCCAGAGTAGGCCCTTATTCACTGTTTTGGGTTTGGGGTTCCCTTATAAGCCCCTTTAAACCAAAAAGGGTACCCTTGCTGTTCCTAGCTTACTCCTGGGTCCAGCTTCATGTTGTTGCGATTATTGTTGTTACTACCTTGGGGGGGGGGGGGGGGGGGGGGGGCATCGAAATTTTGAGGGCTGAGGGCCCCTGTACACCTCAGAGGCAGGTTTCGTAGGGTTCGTTTCTTCCTCAATCCTCACCCTAAAACAGGGGTCGGAAAAATCGCTAGTAGTATCCCCTCAGGGTCCCTAGATACTTCTGCTACAAGAACCCCCCCCCCCCCTCAAAACCCTATTCTAACTATTAAGGCACCTATATATCACGCATCTAAACCTTCATAAACCTCATCAGATGACAAAGTACAGGGCTTTGGGCCAGACGACGTCTTGCCACCGCCTGTGGGGTTTAGGGTTTAGGGTTTAGGCTTCAGGGTTTAGGTTTTAGGGTTCAGGGAACCCCCCTTGTCTGGAGTTTTAGGGTTTGCAGGGGTTAGAGTTTACAGCTTAGAGTTCATAGAATCCTACCTTGAAAAAAATGAAGCGGCCGAGGTTACCAGTTTAGGGTTTAAGGAGTAGGGTTTAGGGTTTAGGGTGTAGGACCCGGCCCTTATTCCTTTTGTGGGGGGTTTGGGTTCCGATACCAGACCCTGTAAACCAAAAAGGGTGCCCTTTTCCTCGGCTACTGCTGGGTCTAGCCTGCCCCAGTCCCCTCATTCTGATCCTTCACCTTAAGGTGACTCTGTCAACACATTAGGGTTTAGGGTGTAAGGGTGTAGCTATAGCCTCAGAAGCCCAATGCACAAAAGCACACCTTATACGCACCAGCACACACCTTGTACTCCCTGCAAGGAACGACGGTAGATCCAGGCATGGTCATGCACTGGGTGTTCCCCGGTCGCTTGTCGCATGACCTGGAGTGGCTGATTGTGTACGTCGCGCTGAGTCGCGTATGGACTTTGGCCAACTTGAGGAGCATTGGCCTGAGCAGCGACATCAGAAAGACCATCGAAGCCGGACCACCAGAGAACATGCTGCAAGCCTTTAGCACCCCCCCCCCCCCACCCGCCCCCGTCCCACATGGTATCCCCGCCGCCCCCCTGCGGTTCATGGTGGGTTTTGGGTTTAGGGTTTCCTTCCTTGCGGCCCGTGGTTCATGGTCTATGGCTCATGGTGGGTTTAGGGGCATGTCTCTCCACCCCGCTGTGGTTCATGGTGGGTTTAGACTTTCGTGTTTAGGTTTTCCCCTCTCACCCCTGTGGTTCGTGGTTGTAGGGCTTAAGGGGTGTGCCCGGCAGGGATGCTATGGGCTGGGGTTGAGAACCCCCAGGAACCCCCTCCAACCCTGACAGGCAACCCTAAACCCCGCCCACGCACCACGGGGGAAGAGGGAAACCCTAAACCTAAACCTAATCCTTCACCTAAACCCTCAACCCAAAACCCACCACGCATTATCGGGGAGGAGAGGGGAAACTCTAAACCTACAGCCCCGAGCCCTAAGCCCTTAACCCCTCCATGAACCACAGAGGAGGGATGGGGGGGGAACCCTAAACATTCAACCTAATCGCAAAATCACGGGGAGGGTGGGGCGGTGGATACCATGGGGGGGGGGGGGAACGTGAATGCTGGCGCGCAAGTACACCAGTCCCAGGGGTTCTATTGTAATTTCATGATGATAGTTATTACTATTGTGCGGGTGAGTGAGTGTGTGTGTGTGTGTGTGCGTTTTTTTGTTTTTTTTGTGGGGGGGGGGGGTGGGGGTGCAGGCCTCAACCCCTAAAACCCTAAACCCCTAAACCCCTAAACCCTAAACCCTTAACCCTAAACCCTAAACCCTAAACCCCTAAACCCCTAAACCCCTAAACCCCTAAACCCTTAACCCTTAACCCTTAACCCTAAACCCTAAACCCCTAAACCCCTAAACCCCTAAACCCCTAAACCCTAAACCCTAAACCCTTAACCCTTAACCCTCAACCCTAAACCCTAAACCCGTAAACCCCTAAACCCCTAAACCCCTAAACCCCTAAACCCCTAAACCCTAAACCCTTAACCCGAAACCCTAAACCCTAAACCCCTAAACCCCTAAACCCCTAAAACCCTAAACCCTAAACCCTAAACCCTAAACCCTTAACCCTTAAACCCCTAAACCCCTAAACCCCTAAACCCCTAAACCCTAAACCCTAAACCCTAAACCCTTAAACCCCAAACCCTAAACCCTAAACCCTAAACCCTAAACCCTAAACCCTTATAAGTAAGGGAGGTGGGCAAAGGCTCTAGGTCCGCATGGGCGTCATGCCTTCCTGCCCTCAGGATGGTGTATCGGCGCGGGAGGCAGGTAGGGTTTAGGGTTTAGGGGTTTAGGGTTTAGGGTTTAGGGGTTAGGGGTTTATGGGTTTAGGGGTTTAGGGGTTTAGGGGTTTAGGGGTTTAGAGGTTAGGGTTCAGGGGTTCCGGGGTTTAGGGTTCAGAGTTTAGGCTTCTGGGGTTAGGGCTCAGCGCATTGTCGCAGCACCTGTTCGCAAAGTTTAGGGTCTGCCCGGATGTTCAGCACACTTTATGTTGTTCTGTTGTGATGCTCAGCTCTTCTTGGAAAACCCCACGCCCTAAGCGATAACCCCTGTTTTGTTACTACCAAAACAGAAAACAGGGAGCAGGTTTCGCGTGAAACACTCAACCCTAAACCCTAGACCTTGCGATGTTGCCCCTTATACTAGCAGTCCTTCATAGGCGCTATAATAGGGGGTACGATCATCCCTATCAAGGACTGTCAGTATAAGGGGGAACATCCCAACCTAAACCCTAAACCCTAAACCCTAAACCCTAAACCCTCAACCCTAAACCCTAAACCCTAAACCCCTGCAAACCCTAACCCTCAAAAGTAGCCAGACCCGGTGCCATCCGGGGAGCCCTTAATGTTCACTTATGGGTTTGGGGTTTAGGGTTTAGGGCATATAGGGTTCCTTGTTAATATTGGTGAGTGTATACATTGAGTGTCCTTTTGGGGGTACAAGACATTTGGACCCTACCACAGACTTGCGCCGGTCCAGAATGAAGGGGGTCCTTGTCACCTCAGCCTCGGGAGGCTCTGAACCCTACTAGTAAATACCGGTTTAGGGTTTAGGGTTTAGGTTTTAGCGTTTAGGGTTTAGGGTTTAGGGTTTAGGGTTAGGAGTGCAAGTTTTAGGGTTTAGGGTACCCTGCTTGGAGGATCATGGGGGTAAGTAGGGCTATAAGCACCCTGCCTGCGCCTGTACTTTGAGCTCGGCATGTTTTTGCAAGACGGGGCGGCGCAGAAGCACGTCTTCGGCATCAACGGCGACGCCGGCAGCCGCTTCTGCATGCTGTGCATGAACGCCCTCACCTTGCGGAGCGCACTAGACGTCACAGACGTGGACGACGAGCACGGCTTCGCCGGCGTCTGCGGGCTGCTCCGCCACCAGGATCTGCACCTCTGCTCCGATGCAGACGTGTTGCAAAGCGCCGATCGCCTCGCAGGGCGCACAGCGGCCGGCATGCCCAAAGCTCAAATAGCATTGTGGGAGCAACATGGTTTAAGGACGATTAGAGCAGGGATTCCCTTTAGTATACCTTTTGGGGTATGGGGATAAGGATGTTCCAACTTTTGGAGTTTGCCGTAAGACCTCAACCTAGAGTCACCTACCTTGGGAGTTAGAGCACACCCTAAAGCAAAGCCTGTTGCGTGGAACACCCCCCCCCCCACTCCAAGACCCCCAAAAATCTTTCGGCCCCTAAACCCTAAGCCCTAGAC